AGGAGGTTGACAATTTACTAGTTTTCTTGTTGTCTGTATTGGTTTTATAAATTGCTTACACGTGTGGGCATGACTGTCTTGACTTCAGTACAGTTCCCATTTTTGCTGGATAGTTGAATTTACCTTGGTGTTGTTGGCTTCTATTTCTGTCTTAGGTTGATGAAGAGCTGGATGAACTTATTTCTAGGATCAAGCTAGAGGAAGGAAATACAGAGTTCTGGAAACGCCGATTTCTTGGGGAAGGAATGGATAGGAGTCAGGGAAAAACCATAGAGGTGGAGCAAGTAGAAGTTTCAGATTTACTGGATGATGTTGATGCTGTAAAGGATGTTGAAGATGAAGAAGGTGATGAGGAGGAGGAAGTTGAACAAACCGAAACCGAGAGTCCAGATGGGGAGAGGGTAAAGGACAAGGAAGCTGAAGCGAAAAAGCCGCTTCAAATGATCGGTGTCCAGTTACTTAAAGATTCTGATCAAACAACTACCACAACAAAAAAATCGCGGAGAAGGGCTTCTCGAGCATCTGTGGAGGTAGATATTGTCTGATCTGTGCTCATTGTTGTCTCTTTAGTTCATTTTCTGGTCCAGAGAATTTAGACATCGTGTAAGTGATGACAATAATAAGTTTATGTAGTCCTTGAAAAGGTAAAAATAATAAGGGAACTTTTGCTCGACTTGTGCATTAAATAACTTGGTCAAAGTCTGTATTCAAATTAGGGACATTGGTAGGTCAAACTCTGCATTTGAATTTGTCAAACTCTGTTATTGGCTTTTGCCTGCTCTCTTTTCCTGATTATTGCGGTTGGATCTTACGATCTAATGGGCCTGGTCTATGCTCTTTGTTCAATACCTAAGGTGAGTTCTTGAAATGATTACACTCTAGCTACAATTCTTATTCGAAATAAAATTATGCTGATGTGGTTGTACTTGGTATCTTTTTGCGTAATCCTGTTTTGCATGGTGAGAGCCATTAAACTCAATCTATTGGTTGTACTGTTATTCATGCAGGATGACAAGGATGATGATTGGTTTCCTGAGGACATAGTTGAGGCATTTAAGGAACTGCGGGAAAGGAAAGTTTTTGATGTGTCAGATATGTATACAATAGCTGATGCTTGGGGTTGGACATGGGAGAGGGAGTTGAAGAACAGGCCACCTCAGAGGTGGTCTCAGGAACGGGAAGTGGAGTTGGCAATGAGAATAATGCAAAAGGCATGTTCACTGTCTCTTGTACTTGGCTCTTCTGTTCTTTCAATAGTAAAAGTTTTCCTTTATGCCAGATTATGCTTCTCTGTGCTGATTTTTCTTGTTAATTTCCTAGCATCATTTGAAAGGTTTTAGTTAGCTAGCTAAACTGCTTCCCCTTTCCTCTTAATTTAGGAGCTACTTTAATCTACTTCCCTTGAGCCATCTATTTGTAGAGCAGTTACTGCAAAAATTTGAGTAGCTTATAGAAAATTACTTTGATTGAAAGTGCTTTTTAAGTACGATCACCTTTAATTACTTGGCCTTTGAATGCTAAAGTTGAGCAGTTCAGATGCACTTTATAAACTAGTTTTTTATTAATAATCAATGCATCTAAGTTCCCTCAATGATATAATAGCTTGGAAAATTTGACAAATGTACAATTAGATCATTTTATTGTAAGTTAAAATATGCTGTGAGTAGTAGTATCATCAATGGTTTTCTGTTCTTGAAAGAATTTGAATGAAGGTTACTAGTAGGTCAAGAATATCAAGAATATCTTAGGCCCTATACAAAAGCTATTGGCAGTTGCATTGAAACTCATTACAGGATGGGGTAAGGAACTTAGCATGTGCTGTTGTTTGCTGAACCTTCTCAAGATGTTGAGACTTGCTAATTTGGAAACAAAATTTAAGTTGACATCTGGATTCTTCTGGTGACAATCTCTCTCTCTCTCTCTCTCTCTCTCTCTCTCTCTCTCTAGAAGGGGACACTGCAAAACCAACATCATAGACTTGTCAGTTAGCTAATATGTGCTGTAAACATGAGTTGGGTTCGTCCATTAAGCAGTATAAGTTATTTGGATGTGTTGAAGAATTTAATGACTTCAGATTTTCATGTCAAATAGTAAGAAAATTATTGCAAAAACCAATAGTAAGGAAAATTCAGGAAACTCTCATAACTCTTCTCTCCCAAGAATTTGATTGGTAAATTGAAATATTTTTCAGGTATTAGAATTGGGTGGGCAACCCACTATTGGGGATTGTGCCATGATACTTCGTGCAGCTATGAGGGCTCCTCTGCCATCAGCTTTCTTGAAGATCCTGCAAACTACACATAGTCTTGGTTATGTGTTTGGGAGGTATTGGATTCTCATTACCTTGTCGTATCACGATCTAAAAGTTTCATTTTCATCCGTATTGGTTCTTGGCCTGCCATGATCTGAAAGCTTTATCCATTATGCTGCTGCATACTCTGCCCCTTCTCTTCACTTTTGAGAAAGGGTCTCCAATTCAATATGATCAGCTTTTTGTAAGTCTAATGTGAAAGCATTTTTGTGTATCATTTTGATGTGGTGCCATTGCTTCTTTTGATGTAGAGCATGGTATATTTTATTCATGAAGTACCAATGCATTCAAAATCATAAATCTCTTGAAAGTATATTGAAATGGATGTCTTAAATCAATCATGTTTGGGTTTCGTGGCCTTTTTTGGAATTTTAGCTACTTGACATGTGGAATTTAGGTTCGAGATTAACTAGTATTAAAAGAATAGTTGATTTTTCTCTGCATATTTACCATCCATGGTATTCAGGGGAGCAGAAAGTGCCTAGATACGTACATGTTTGTATTTTGGCAGGAAAACACATGAGCATGTTAAATACTACCACGTTCCGTGCTTCTTTTAGTAGGAAATAATTCGAAATATGCTTTTCTTCTGTGAACTTGCATGATGAAATCCTGCCGAGTGTGGGGAACTATCATGGATTCTTAGAAACTTGAAGTAGTAGAAGAGTCTGTAATTTCACCTTACAAAAAATGGTTTCCCTCTCCTTTTGCAGTCCTCTATATGACGAAATCATCTCACTGTGTCTTGATCTTGGAGAATTGGATGCTGCGGTAGCCATAGTTGCAGACATGGAGACTACTGGAATAGCCGTGCCTGATCACACCATAGACAGGGTCATTTCTGCACGGCAAGGTGTTGATAGTGTCACCGATGATGTACCAGAATAACTGTCCTTGTCTGTTCATCTCCTTGCAGCGTTGCATTCAAGGGTTATCGGAAATTTGTATCAGGGTATCCACAAGTGCTCCAGATACTTGAATGTCGGGCTTGAGATTATCGACAAAGCTGATTGCCCGGACGAAGCTGATTTTTGTCACAATGAAGATGATTACAAGCGAGGTTCCAAGGTATGTTTACATTCAATCCAAGGACTTTGCCGGAAAGAAAGGGAACTCGACATACCGATGAGACTCATTAGAGAGATGAAATCTGATTGTACATACCCTAGTCTAGTAGGTTTTTTTTTTTTTGGTCGGATAGTCTAGTAGTTGAATGGGGTCATTTTGGTAGTAGATATGTTCATGTATTATTTATTGGATTCAGAGTTGTTTCTTGTATGGCCCGGAAAAACGAGCGGAATTGTCTCATTATCTGTGCTCATCTCAAATGTCATCGAGGAGAACTTTTCCGATAGTAGACGAAAATGCAATAGAGGCCTCTCGTGCTCGTTTGTCATTGTAGAGATGGTTTTTCAGAAGACGCGCTGACTCGCAAATTTGTTCGGCGTTTTGATGATTCCAGCAAATCGCGGTTTTACCTGGTATTAACAAAAGTACTTACATTCTCACCCCCCATCTTCTCTTTGAGTATCGAATGACAAACATGTTTACCGCTCGAAGCATCCCTCGGCGTTACCGTGCCTTGTTTAAATTGGAACTCGCTAGAATCCTAAAGTGACGTTCCGGTTTAGAGTGACCGAATGGTCCGGAGGCCATGGGGCCGGGGGAAGGAAATAACCTTTCAAAAGGACATCATGGTCTCTGCTTCATGTCGAAGCAATTGCATTGGCATTTATTAGTGTTCTATGAGTTCAAATGATTCAATTGACTTGCCTTTGAAGCAAAGAGCAGAAGAGATTTGTCTTGCCTTGCATCTCAAATTTCCACTAATTTCACGTGCTTTCATTGTTAAATAGCACAATCCGACTTATTATATTCTTTCATTTTAAATTTTATTTTTAAAAAGAACACTTTTTGAAATGATTTATGCTGTACAGTTTCTCTTGCCAAAGAGGATCTGATTAATTACAAAATGTGCAAAGCAGTGTAAATATAATCTCTGTCAATAGTTATAAATAGATGGTAGCAAAAAAAAAGGGAATAAGCAATATCAATAAGATGCATGTTGTGCATGATGCTAATGCTCAAAAATTAATTTTTTTAGCTATAGAAATGGACATGCACTATCGAAACACTTTGTTCTTTTTGTATAAAATCAATAATCTGATATGATTTTTTGGTCCATGCGACATGAACTATCAATAAAGCGTATCAGTTTGTATGATTGACAACATGAATCGATCATGAAATTTATTGCTTGAATACTAGCCCGAGCAGATCACACGAAATCCTTATGAGAGTTAAACTAATATATATAAATCAAATATGGGAAAATGAAAAGATGTTGACTATATCCCTAGATTCATATTGAAAAGGTAAAAAAAGTTAATTGGTTTCTTAGGGTGACTATAGTTTCTTACCCTTTTTTTCTCTAAAACAAATTGTATGTACTTCCATAGTTTGTCCTTTGTTTAGCCCCAAACACGTGGTTTTTCAAATATATATATATATACATACTGACATATAGATTAATGCCTTATTTTTTCTAATTTAAGAAATTACTTTTCAAATTGCAAAATTCCTAAGGAAAAACAAAAGGTAGAAAAATTGATCATCAAGTGCACCCAAAAAAAAAAAAATCATAATAAAGTTTACAAACCGTTGGATTTTCTTCCTAATCCCAGGCACCAACCTCGCTAAAAGCTCTGTCCGTTTCAGACAGCGGAGTCGAGTCAGCTCAGTTCCTCGCTCCGACTCGCCGGCGAGTCGCGATCCCATTCCCCCTCTGCTCTCACCAGTCCATAATCTTCACGTCGTCGTCGTCTTCAACCTCCGATTTCCATCGCTGTCGCATTGCGACCGGCGAGAAAATCTCGCCCGGCTTTGAGCTGGATTCGGCGCTCCAATGGCGGTCCCCGTGGAAGAAGCCATCGCTGCTCTCTCCACATTCTCTCTCGAGGTGAACTTTCTTGTACCCTTTTAGCTCCCTCTGCGAAATTCGTATCTGGGTGTCGCTGTTGTTGTCGTCGTCTCGTGGAATGCGATCGGAGTTCGGGATTTTTGTTTCGCAGGACGAGCAGCCGGAGATTCAAGGACCGGCCATCTGGGTGTCCGCCGAGCCCGGCGCCACCAACAGCCCCATCGGTACGTGAGAGACTCGGACCCGCTAGGACTTTGAGATTTGGATGCGTGATGCGTGCGTGCGTTGAATTCGTTCGCGCGTTTTTTTTTTTTTTTTGGTTTTTGCTTGATGAAATCGCTGGGAGTGTCTGTTGTGGACTGGCAAGTGATGCGGTGGCTTCCTCTCTCGCAGAATACAGCGATGTTTCGGCGTACCGGTTATCTCTGTCCGAAGACACGAAAGCTCTCAACCAGCTGGTGCGTGGACTTTTCATGTTTTCTTTTTCCCTCTTCCCGGTTTCGTCGTCTATTTGCGTTTGCTCTTTCAAGTGCACTGTAAAGTTTGCAGATTTATCTACGACAGAAGAAGTTTGCTGGGTCGATTTGTCCGGTCACGCTGATTCTTTCGGACAATTTTTGTTTCTCGACATTCGGAAAAACTAGTAATGTCGTTAGCTGTGCACTTTCTAATTGTGGAAATTGGAACCGTTTGCAGAACTCTCTTATTCAGGAGGGGAAAGAGATGGCTTCGGTGCTCTACACGTATCGCAGCTGTGTGAAGGCGCTTCCTCAGGTTGGTTTTTCCTTTCCATTTTGAAATCTGCAGGATATCTTTGCTGTTTTAGACAATAGTAGTACTCAATTGTGTTCTTAGTAGCATCATATGAGTAATTGTGTTGACATAAAGTAATATGGAGACACATGTTCGTGGTTCTCATATGGTGCTGCCAGAAAATCCACATTTGGACTGGAAAGCGGGGAAATTCTTGTTCTATCAAACTGGTTTTTTCTAGATTTCTTATCAAATTTTTTGGGTTATATTATGAGTTTATTTTTGTAGATTGGAGGGAAACGTAGATTTCTTGCAAAGAGCTGAGTTTGATGTCTAAAGATCTACAATGTACTTAGGGTTATTGTAGTGTTGAGCAATATTGATATTTCCCTTTGTAGAAAGTTAAAATTTGCATAAACTCCATCTCAAGATAATTGTCTTTTCTCTCCAAACGCCTAGGCCTTGTATTGGTTATTGATGCTTGTGGGAGCAATGGCTTTTTGATGAAGTATTGCATGTGTATTGAGAGAGGGCTTTGTTTTTTCTTTTCTCAAGCATAATGCTCAACTTAGTTTACTGTTAATCTACTCCAACCCCCCGCACCCCCCCCTCCCCCCCAACCAAAAAAAAAAAAAAAACAGGAAGAAAGAAGCTTGCAAAAAACCTATATATCATGGAAATGAACTTTGGGGACTTGTAATTGACATAAATACATTTTCTAACTACTGGATGATACTTTAAACAAGTCCCACATTTGTACTGTCTTTTGCAATTGAAGATAATAGTTAGCTTATGCTCTAGACAGAACTTGTTAAAGACAATCAATGTTGTAATAACATGCAGCTTCCTGAGTCTATGAAGCATAGTCAAGCTGACTTGTATATGGAGACATACCAAGTTCTTGACCTGGAGATGAGTCGACTCCGTGAAATTCAACGGTGGCAATCATCAGCTGCGTCTAAAGTATAACAATTTCTGCCTCACTTGTGGTTGGCTTCACTTGCATATTCCACAGTGTATAACTCTTAAGTTTTAATGCAGCTAGCAGCTGATATGCAGCGTTTTTCCAGGCCAGAGCGACGCATTAATGGCCCCACCATAACTCATCTCTGGTTTTATTTGAATTCCCTCTTTCTTTTACATCTATTCATCCTTTCCTGTCGTCTTTTTGAAGTTGTTTGTTCCAATGTTCAGCAGACATCCTCTACCATAAATGTTGAATATACTGTAAATTGTAGTTCACTTACATATGGAGACCTACCGTTGATATTTTTTGGCAGTTATATGCAGTGGACTGTAACACTTTTTCCGTTGCTTACAATAGGTCTATGTTGAAGTTACTTGATATCTTGGTACAACTTGATCATCTAAAAAATGCAAAAGCAAGCATACCGAATGATTTTTCTTGGTATAAGAGGTACGGCAACTGATTGTTACCTGATGTTGGTGCTAAGTTTAATTAAATTATGCTTGACATTTGGCTTAGCTCTCTCTCTCTCTCTCTCTCTCTCTCATGCTTGTCTGCTTAACTTTTGGATACTTATTAGGCTTATCTCTGTTCATTCTTGTTACCCAAGTCGTGTTTTTCTTGAGGATTCTATTGATAATTGAATTTTTTATGGACCCGTGTTTTCCTGGTTGGACAAAACTTCCTCTTCCCTCCTTGTGATCGGTGGGTTAATGCAAATCACTGCATGCATAGTTAATTATTACCTAAACAAACAGTATCTTCATCAGACCACCACCATATCAACTACTTGGCCTTTGAGCTCTGTAATCAACTTCCTCACCATCGATAGAGCCCACGCTATCCGAATCTAGGCAGATCTGGATATTGAACTCGCTGATTAGCTGCTAGGAGATTGATGGATGGTGAGAGAGAGAGAGAGAGAGAGAGAGAGAGAGAGAGAGAGCTGACGGAGGAGAAAAGAGGTGACGGTGATGGTGGGAGAGTTGTTGGTGCACTGAGTAGGTGGGGGGCATTGCAGAAGGGAATGGTAGTGGGGGGCTGCTGATGGCATTGAGGTTAGAGGAAAGACATGGAGATGGAGAGGAGAGAGAGGGGGGCTGACGGATTGTATAAAGTAATTTGGTGTGTGTTTTTTAAGTTAAAGTTAAATGCGCGTGACAGTAAACTGACCAATAAAAAGTTGGGTCAGAGGAATTTTCCTCCAACCTAGCTCATTATTGGTATTGTTGACAGTTTTTGGTTTGTATAAGGTCCCTTAATGCACATGCACATTTCTAGGACAAAATTTTTCTGAGGTGATTGTTATAGACATACCAATTTTATTTTTCATTTTTCATTTTTTTAGAAGATCATTACAAGAATACGCCATATAAATGGGAAAAGTGCACATGAAGTCCTAAACCTTGTGTATGTAATGTAATTATGTCCTAAATCTTTGAGTTAGTTCAATTAAGTTCCATAATTTTTCAAAAAGTGCAATCAAGTCCTTGGTTCAGTGTTGTGGTGCAATTTTCCCAGCCAAAAATATTAAATATCTAACCTCTGTCAATTACTTTAGTAGATTACATTCCTTGCTATTATACAGAGAACTCCAGCCTCCGAAACTTTAAATTGGCAATGATTAACTTTAGTATCTGCCATCCCTAGAGTAAGCATACTAGAGATGGTTAGGCCATGAAATATAGAATTGGTCAAAAGTGGAAGTGGGTGAATGGTTTAACAGTTCACTAGTAAAATATAAATTCTCATACCTTTCATAACATTCTTATAATATATATGCCTTTGCAATCTAGTATAACTTAGTTTAAGAGGTAATAGTAATGGTTGAAGTGGCTTAAAGTAGTGTTTGTTGTTTTGTGCTTCTAGCAAAACTAAGTAGATTCAATACAAAACCAATTGATGGTTAATTCGGCGATGATGTTCATTTGCTAGAAACATCAATTTTAGAAATGATGCTTTTGTGCATTTTGATTTTATGGCAAAGCTACGAGCATGATTGACATGAAAGTTAAAAATTGGAAGTTTTACTGAAGTCTTTGTAGTTTGAATTTTGACCTCTCATTTTTCTACCGAGCGTCATTTCATAAAAATACTGGACTAGAGAATACCCGTGAATATATGCATCTTTTGACATCTTTGACATGCAAATTACATTCCAGAGACATCTCTTCTTGTTTGCTTTAGAATTTAGATGAATATCTTCCTCTTGGCTATTCTCAAATTTTCAGGACTTTCACACAAGTCAGCATTCAATGGCAAGATGTTGACACAATGAGGGAGGAGTTGGATGATTTGCAGGTACACAATAGTTTGCTCCAAAGCAGGAAATGCTGGCATTACACTGATTAAAAGTCTTGGATGTCAACTTTGTTGCTCCTCATGCATGTTTGCTTCTCCTAACCGGGACTTCGTGCAATCCATTTGTCACAGATTTTCTTAAGCACAAGATGGGCCATCTTATTGAACTTGCACGTCGAGATGTTTCGGGTGAACAAGTATCCTGTCCGTATGACAACTGAATGCACTTATTCTGTATGAAAGAAAATTAATGTGATGTATAAGAACATATGCATTCTCATATATGTATTCTGTCCTTACATCGTTATGCTGCTGATTGATTGCCGGCAACACCAAAATGTGATTTGCCCCATCAGCTTACTTTTAAATGGTAGTACTATGCATATCTGATTATTTTTGAGGTCCTTAACTCTGACAAGTGTGGAAGATATTCTACAAGTTCTTATTGTTTTTGCTGTTGAGTCATTGGAATTGGATTTTGCTCTTCTTTTTCCTGAGCGGCATATTCTTCTACGAGTTCTGCCCGTCCTAGTTGTGCTGGCAACATCATCCGAGAAGGACAGTGAATCACTGTACAAAAGGGTTAAGATTAACAGACTGATCAATATATTTAAGGTACATTCTCATAATGTTTTTTTACTTTGCAATGAATAGTAAAATTTCAGGACAAAGCAGAACCATGCGATCATCAATAAAATGTTTATTCACTAGAATAGGAGTGGTAAATGTGCATTAGTTATAAATTTTTCATCTAAGATCGTTGATAATTATTCTAAATTAGTTCTTCCAGTGTGGTTGAAATGATTAATTTTATCATTTCTGTCTTGGCAGAATGATCCGGTAATTCCTGCATTTCCAGACCTTCATCTTTCTCCGGCTGCAATACTGAAAGAATTGTCAAGTTACTTCCAAAAGTTTTCTTCTCAAACTCGTCTTCTCACTCTTCCAGCGCCACATGAGCTCCCTCCGAGGGAAGCACAAGAATATCCTGTCTACCTATTTTAAAGTTGCAATATACTTTTTTGAGTGTTACAATCTTGTTCTCATAGTACTAGCGAACTGATAAGATAACTTGGTCGCATAGAAATCAAAGAGCATTAGTCAGTGAATGCTGCCTTTACACTATCTAATAGGGATTACTACATTAGTCACTCTACTGATATTCTGTTATCTTTAGGTACAGGGGAGATGCTTTATTGGTTTGAATTCAGTTCGGTTAACTCTTATAGGTTTAAGTACTGGGTCTGAGAAAATGAAAATATACGAACCCTCATTTTACATGCAAAAAATTCGTGTAGAATCTAAGCTTTCAATTTTTCAGTTACCTGGAAGATTTTCTTTATCCATTTTGTTCATAGAAGTCATACTTCCAGTTCCGGGGCAATATCTATACATACACGACTGCGGAATGAGATGGTGATATGCAAATGTGGCTTGATAAAACTTTGAATGTATCTTCCCCGTACTCTTTTGATTAAAATGCTAAGATCTTTACATCCTTTCTGCTGAGGCTTTTCAATGACTTTGCCTTTTGTTTCTTTTAGATGTACAAAGTCAGCTTGCCCATCATGAGGTAGATCAATATCTAACCTACTCGTTAAGAACTATATAAAAAAAGGTTTAAAACTACTATAAATGGGTAGCTGAGTGTTAGAAAGTCCAACCCAAAAGCTTAAGCTATTAGGTGGAGGGAGACCACATGAATATAAAGAGCATTTAGGACCCGTTGTCAATTGATGCGGGATAATTCTTCAACACCCCCACTCACGTGCAGGCTAGATTACAAGTAGCACGTGAAATTTTGACATCACACATTCACATGAAATTTTTACCACGCACATTCGCGAAAGGGATATCATTGGCTCTGATATCATGTTAGAAAGTCCAACCCAAAAGCTTAAGCTATTAGGTGGAGGGAGACCACATGAATATAAAGAGCATTTAGGACCCGTTGTCAATCGATGTGGGATAATTCTTCAACACTGAGCACAATAAGAGATACCATTTTACATAGGAATACATCATGATGCATCTATTATTGCACGGTTGATAGTAAAATCTTTTGCACTTTCTGATTCAGAATTTTAAGTTTTCAGGATTCATGAAAGACTATTCTGCTTTGAGTGCTTTTCACATAATCACCGAACTTCTGTTTATTTCATTGGTTGCGGTTACTCTTTTTTGTCATCTACCAATCATCACTCCATACCCATTGGAAAAACCTGACTAAAAGCTGCAATGGCACCCAGAGAGGAGTCTCCTCCCCTAGAATAAAGTGCCTTGTCATGTCTCCCCTTGTGATTTTGAGTCTTCTTGACAAAGTATTGCATGAGATATATTGGTTATACAAGTATCCTACCTGAACTTAGGCCTTTTCTATTTGTGCAGAATGGGACCTAGGTATAGACTGAGGCGATAGACCTTACTAGAGCAATACATCTTAGATTTAACCTTTGGACAGATAAATGTTGTATGTACTGGTGAGCATCATTTTCACCATAGGGTCATAGATAAAACTACCAACTGGCAGAATTGTCCTATAATATCGACTCTCAAGTCTTATATTGTTATCATAATTGTGTTCTGACTCCACAAAGTCTGGTGTCATCAATAAATTACAGCATGTCAATTTTATAATAGGAGAGTTGGCCACCCAATTTCACTGATATCTGCATTGTGGCAGCACTAGTGTTGCCAGAGCTTGGGCAATAATAAAACAATGTCATGCACTGTTCAAAAATTTTCTTTCTTCTTTCAAGGAAAAAATTGTTAGAAAATAATATCATCCTGCCAACTTGCTGTGATAACTCCTTGACATAGGCCACTTATCAGCGCCAGTATCTGATTGTTAATCACATTGGAGCCATTCGTGCTGAGCATGATGATTTCTCAATTCGTTTTGCTTCATCTGTGAATCAGGTATTCTTCTTCATACATATGCAGATGGATAGTTTCTCTACTTGCTTAAGGTGCAAATTTTGATTTAAATTCTGCTTGTCTATGTTTTGCTAGCTTTTGTTGTTGAAGTCAACAGAAAGCGCCGATGCTGAATGGTGCAAAGAGGTAAAGGGGAATGTGTATGATATGGTAGTGGAAGGATTTCAGCTCTTAAGCAGATGGACTACACGTATATGGGAACAATGTGCATGGAAATTTTCTCGGCCCTGCAAGGATGCGGTTTCACTAGAAGCAAATGAACCTTTAGGATCATGTTCTGACTATGAAAAGGTACTATATCTAGTGGTTGGAGCATTATCATTATTATGGAGTTCCTGTTAGTCTGCATTTTGTTTTATTTGCTCCCTTCTCTGCAGAGATAGCTGCTAATATTGGTCAGTGGGTAGGAGACTATTGGCTTCACTTGCGGCTGAATGTATAAAGCCTTGTCCAGCTAACTTTTCTTCTATTTGATCACTAAAATTAAAATTTCGTTAAGGAGGGCCACAAGACTTCAACCCATGAACAAACTGAAGCGTTCAGAAAAAAAAAATCATGAAGATGAGAGATTCATCAATGTTAATTAAACCCTGTGTGCCAAATCTACCTAGCGATATACTAAAAAAATGTACAGCATGTCTCAAGCCGACTATTTTATTAAGTCAACAAATTGTCAACCTCCTTTTCCAGCTGGATAACAGTATCAAATCAGATTCTCATCATCAAGGTGAAGTTACCCTTCCATTTGTCCGTTCTAGTGGCACTTTCCTGTTTCAGTCACATAGTAGGAAAATAACCTTTTGTTGAGTTGATGCTAGTTTTGTAAAGAACCAAACCAAGTTGATCCAGCTGCTGGGTGTGTTCAACCTTGATAGTGTTAATTTTTCTTCGAGGCTCTTCTAAAGTTGAGAACAGCCTAGTCTTGGACCTTGACCTGTTTAGCTTTAACTTTTGGTCACTGTTAACTTATGCAGCTGAGAGTGATGATAAACTGTAAACATATTGCTTCATGATAGTGCATATCTGGAATTACATTGCAGGTAGTTCGGTATAATTATAGTGCAGAGGAAAGAAAAGCTCTGGTTGAACTTGTTAGCTACATAAAGAGCACTGCTGCGATGATGCAAAGATGTGATACATTGGTAGCTGATGCTTTATGGGAAACCATACATGCCGAGGTACAAGATTTCGTGCAGAACACTCTAGCCACCATGTTGCGAACAACATTTCGAAAGAAGAAGGACCTATCAAGGTGAACATTTGAGGAGTTCTTGATTGGTACTTTTGGGAAAATTTTGCTCCTCAGGCTTGTTAAGTGCATGGACATAAGGAAATTTCGAGTTTTTTTACTTTTGAATAAGAGATGCTTCTATTTGCTTGTGATTTCCTTTTCTCCCCGTAATTTGCCAAGCTAATCAAGGCTAGCTTTTCCATGTCTATATGGGAAGGGAGGTTGATTTGTATTAGACAATTTTATAGTTTCTCTGAGAAATGTCCGTATGGTCAATTGATAAACAGGAAAATATGGAAGTTTCAAAGGATTGGTTGGCTGAGTGTGCAATATAGTATCGATGTCTTAATTTTTATTTCATACCCCGAGTAGAAAGCATATCATCTGTGAACAAAATATACAAATATGTGTAGAGCTTTGAAACAAACATAGAGGTTACTGTGGTCATGGAAATTGGACAAGTTGTCAAAAGCTCAGCTATCAGTATTTCCGTAACTTTTTGATGTCATCCTTTATGACATCACTATGTTGTCATATGTATTCCTAGATGACTTGTGAAATTGTTATTTTGCTCGATTATATAAGGTTCTTATTTATGCTTTGCTGAAATATCCTTCTGTTCTCATCCTTTATTTTGTCTAATTTTTATTTGATAGGATTCTCTCAGACATGCGAACTCTTTCAGCAGACTGGATGGCAAACACAAGCAAGTCCGAGCCAGACTTACAATCGCTACAGCCTGGAGGTGAAGAAAGCAAAGGGAACTTTTTCTGTCCAAGGCCAGTGGCACCAACGGCTTCTCAGGTTTTTCTAAAGCTTTAATCTTTCTCCATTTGTATTATTAATTTGGTGGTTATTCCTTTGTCCCATTTTTTCAGCTTTTGCAGTTATATATATTGATTTATTTGAGTTACTATATTCTCTTTCTTTATGTTTCAGCATGTCATGTATACTTTCTGCTTTGTATTCTTTATATTTGCACATGTGTGTATCTGCATGCATGCGTTTATGTCTGTATCTATCTTATGCTGCCATGTGCGAAGACACTTTGCGCTGAACCTTACAATGTTCTGTAAAGCTCAGTAGTAGCTTAGGGTTACAGGTATGAATCCACTTGAGAAACGTGCACTGGGTTGTGTAGTGTGCATTAAACCACTGTTAAATGGTATTAGATGGGTCATTAATCAATTTGCTGCTTGTATATGCAGTTGGTAGAGGATGAGTTTTCTAATTTCCCGATGTCACGTTTTTCAGGTCCATTGCCTGCAATTCTTAATCTATGAGGTTGTTTCTGGTGGTAATCTTAGGAAGCCTGGGGGACTCTTTGGTAACAGTGGTTCTGAGATCCCTGTCAATGACATGAAACAGTTGGAGACATTTTTTTACAAGCTTAGCTTTTTCCTGCATATATTGGACTATACAGGTACCATTTCATCTTGTAGGCTTTGTGCTTGATTTTTGTTCATGGTTGTCAACATTTTAATAATCTGATGGTAAAAGAACTAATCAATGATCTGGCTGGCAATTCTACCAGTTTAATTGCGGCTTCAATCGCATTGTATCAGAGCTTATTCATTTCATCCAGATAGATGTGCTCAAGATCTGTTGTCTCCTATTTTCAGCATGTCTTTTTAATGTATTTTACTTTCCTATAATCCCTCGCAATTTATTGTTTCAAGCTATGGACCGTCACTTTGGGAAACGTAATGCCTTAAGAGGTGTTCAATGCAGACTGGAAGACTGTCTCACTAACTTCAACTTTACCTCTATAAAGTTGCTAAGAAGCACATGCTGTCATGAGTAATGGGCAGATCAATTCTGTTTTTCAATTTTGAAATGAACACAATTCACTGTTGATATATATATATATATCTAGAGAGAGAGAGAGAGAGAGAGAGAGAGACTATCTATGTATGGTTTTTTAGACAATAAATATTGCACAATCGTTTAAATAATTTAAATAAGTTGAAAATAATCACGTAAAGAATCTAAATTTGTCTATACATTGTTTATATAAACAACAAAAAGTTGTATAATGTTTTCTGAAACTTTAGCCTTGAGAAAAAAGTCTCTTTTGTTTAGTACAATTAAATAGTTTCCTCCAGAATCTTGAAAGATATGTTGTATGCTAATTTGATCACGTAGCTTTAACTTTTCTAAAATGTAGATGCTAAATATTAACAAATGTGAAATATAATATGGAAAATATTCTTTTGACTTGTTAAAATGATAAAATGTCATCCAGATACCAAATAAGATAATTAAATTGTTTTAGTTATTAAGTTGTTCAGACTAAAGCCTTGATGATATATCCATTTACTCATGTTGCTGTTCAATATATTCCATTCTTGACCAGAGGTCAGAAAAAATAGGAGGTGAGAAGATGAATTATATTTGCCTAAAATGGAATACACCATTGGTTCCAAAGCGAGCCGCAAACATATGTTTCGGTTTTCTTGTTTTAGTACTATTTTTAGACAAACAGTTCAATTGCTGGTTCGATTGGACTGTATTAGAGCTCATGCATTTCATCTACAATTTGATGTGCTCAAGATCTTTTTGTCTTTTCTCCTTTCCTCTTTAGTGCATCTTACTTTGCTATAATCCCACGCATTCTAATATGTCAAACTATAGGGCATTTGTCACTTTGTGAAAATAGTGTATGTTAGAAAGTCCAACATAAAAGCTTAAGCTTCTAAATGAAGGCGTGGTTTAATATTTATGTTAGAAAGTTTAAGCTAATAGGTAGAGTAGACCACATGAATATAAAGAGCAGTTATGATCCGATGTCAATTGATGTAGGATGATACTTCAACAACTCAATTATTCTAATACTCCCCTCACTCTTAGTCTGGTCTTTTTGCCTAGTACTAACTGTGGACACATGACCTGTTGTCAATCGATGTGGGATAATACTTCAACAATTTAATTATTCTAACACTTCACCTCACGCTTAGTCTGATCTTTTTGCCTAGTACTAAGCATGGATATATTTCATTGGGGAGGCAAATTTGGCCTAGACAGATTTGAACTCAGGACCTTCTGCTTTGATGTGAGATTTTGGTGGGATCACTGTCAACTGTTCTAAAAGCTTAAGCTGTTAGGTGGAGGGAGACCACATGGATATTAAGAGCATTTAGAACCCATTATCAAGCGATGTGGGAAAATACTTCAACACCCCTCTCATGTGCAGACCGGATTACGAGCTGCCCGTGGAATTTTGACCACGGCACGTGGAATTTGACTAATGGGGGGTGGAGACACGTTCACGAAAGGGATAGACTGGCTTTGATACCATGTTAGAAAGTCCAACTCAAAAGCTTAAGCTGTTAGATGAAGGTGTTGTTTAATATTTAATTATTCTAATAGTGTATAAGAGGAGTTTAATGCAGACTAGAAGACTGTCTCACTAACTTCAACTTTACCTTCCCTAAAATTATATCACTGATCTCAACAACCAGCATCCCACAGTTTCACTAGCGGATGAAGTGGATCAGTATTGTGAAAGGAGAAGCTGCATTAGTGGTAGAGCTATACACTTTATTTCTTTGGCCGAAGTAGAATTTTATACTTGCTAGGTGAGAAACTAATGCTTCTATAGGATAGAGAATGCCTCTTGGTCCGGAGTATTTATCTCATGCAAATGTAATAACCACATTGTTTTCCTCTTTCTTTCTAATATCATTTTTATTATAACGGTTGTTGCTGTTGTTTGGATAACCACATCAATCGCATGGTCAATGTGTAATCCAAATTTTGACCCTTAACTGGCTTTCTAATTTCACAATAAGATTTCTAATTGCGCTTCCGGTGTGGGCAAGCCATAACCACTGATTATTGCTTCCATCAAAGGTAGTTGGTTAGAAGAAGACAGAAGGAAATGAATGTCCTTTGTTGATCGTTCCTTTTTCCCCTCTGTTAACCGTTTCATTTTTTGGATTCCCTAGCTCTATTGATGACATTTGTGTGATTTCATTCACTTATGGACATGTCAGTATTTCTTTGGACAAATCAACTTTATTTAACAGTTATCAGCAATAATTGTCTACTTGTATTGCTGTAAACAATTCACAGGAAGCATTTGGACAAATTTAACTTATTATTGTTGTGCTGCAGCGACATTGGTGACTCTGAGTGATCTTGGTTTTCTCTGGTTTAGAGAGTTTTACTTGGAGTCTTCTCGTGTTATTCAGGTAAAGTGACAACTTGTGGACACTGGAACATATTTCTCGTGCATTCTCACACTAGAATATCATCCTTGTGCATCTCTGATAGGGAACCGACGGTGAAATCTGAGATCAGGGGATTGTTTTTGGGTCATGAGTTGTGAGAACTTGCTTTGTCTTTTCTTGGTTGGATGTTTATGCTCTCAGAGTTGGTCAAGAAGGTCGCACTACATGCCTTATAATGAAGACAGTCCCTGCAAATAGCAACTATTTATTGATCAAGAAAAACTTTGTTGCAATCATGGTTTCTATGAACTCTGTGTCAGAAGATCAACTTTACAATTTTGAAACAAATATTGTAATATTCTGACTTCAAATACAAGATTTGATGCCTGCAGAGTCCTGTATTTATCTCCGGAAGATACAGAGAAACGGCTCCCTAAATATCTTGAAACGAGACGTTTCTAGTACCATTGTCACATGAGCAGTTGACCTAGTGTATTAGTTGTAATTTATCTGTTAGGAACCAGAGGCCAGACTTTTTACATCATTTTGTCAGTTTGCTTAAGAGAAGAAGTTGCTCCATCATCTCTTCACATCTATTCCTGGATTCTACCAGTAATTAACTGGATTCTTGAACATGGGAATTATGAGTGCAGTCAAATATGGACATGAGTCTTTTATTGACTTTTTTTTGGTTTTGTGAGGTGGATGTACTTATGAAACTCTTCAGAAAAAAAAATTAAAACTTGAATTTGTTAAAATAGATGTTTTTTTCTTGGTCTGTCCTACTCTAACTCTCCCCTCTCTCTCTCTCAGACTTTTACTCTGCTTTCTTGTTAGATAGATGGTTAACATAATTCAAATTCTCACAAGAGTCTTACCTTGGATCTCCATCAGTCTTTACCTATAACTCCTTTGACAAATGCATAAAAAGTGGAAGTTTGCATGTAGGCCCTTACGTATAATACAAAGATCTTTCTAGTTCTGGCTTGAGAGTTTGACAGCAGCGGGAGTTTTCCAGACATTGTTGGATTTGGAGTGGAATGAACTTTTTATCGATTTTATTGTATGATGGTACTTTTGTCGCTTCATTGACTACATTATTTTGTATTTGGGAAACTTTTTGTTAACTGGAAATTGGGGTGAATAGACTAGTAATGGATAAGGTGCAATGTCGTAGAAGGATCCATCAAGCCAACTTCGCTCACCGAGCAAAGGCTTAATTATTGTTACTTGGTTCTCAAATAAAACCCAATCTAGGCACCTTTTATTATATGTCAAGCTAGAGAGTACTTGTAACCAGACTGAACACCGAATGGCTGAAACTGTCAAGAGAATCTTCTATCTCGATTGGAATCATTAATCAAAGGACTGCCTAAGTTATAAAGGAAACTGAGCAAGTTTGTTAGTTATTCCTGAGCTTTAGATATCTAGTGATACTTATTGTTACTGAAAAAAAATATTACTTAAATAGGTACCTACTTGCTTAGTTGGTAAAGAACTAGGGTTCAATTTCATCTTGAATGTGATTAACATATAAAAGAAAGGAAAGGTCCCTTGCAATTCAGCAGCCTCTTTAATGAAAAGACAAGCAGAGGAAATTGAAACAGAATATAATTTTCACATGCTAGTATTCTTTTGATGGATGATTGGTAGATCAACTGTGAGGTTCCTGTCTAACGTGCAACATTTGCTGACACAATATGTGCTATTTTAGAATGAATTGATATCAGTTTATTTACATCTTGTTTCTAATATAATTACTTTAAAGCTAGGACTGTGTTAAAGTGGCTGCCTAAAGTATTGACACAGTTTGCCTAGGGGACCACTGTTCGAAATATAGTGGACAAGATCTGTAAATATGTCATTGATTCAATAATATACCTGGAGTCACGATAAATACATGCGTAGGTGCAAAGACATACTTGCGTAGAGAGACATTTATATGCATGGATTTTCAGTAGCTTTAATAAAAAATAATTACAGATGAGCTGCAATTGCTCGGCCAAAGCAATCCGAATAATTCCAGTGGAAAGTGGGCATGTCCCTGCTTCAAATTACAGCGGTTGTTCCACATATGTTGGACCAGATTTTTCAGATTGTTTTGCATTGCTCTTTACATTGGTAGGATACTGTGGTCAGAGCAAACTATCTAATGATATTACTTCAAGAATTATTTACCCATAGTTGTTATAGTGGGAGAAAATTGGCTAAGTAAATGGAAAGACTAATTCTGTCTTTCCTCATTTCTATATGGTAACAAAATAGGCATCAAATTAATGTACATCACTATAAGTAATGCTATTTTGAAATGCTTCATGGAAAACAAAGCATGCAGTACATTGCAAAGATAGATCTTCTCCATGAAGACGTTTTTATGTTCCGACTTTAACCATCCCTTGTTTCTCATTCTGCTATCCTCTGCACCAATTCCTTATGTCTTTTTGCTTTTGCAGTTTCCTATTGAATGCTCTCTTCCCTGGATGCTGGTGGATCACGTATTAGAGTCTCACAATTCTGGACTTCTTGAAAGTGTCCTGATGCCTTTGGACATCTATAATGATTCAGCTCAGCAGGCATTGGTTGTCTTGAAACAACGGTTCCTCTATGATGAAATTGAAGCTGAGGTGTGTTGACTTCTTGATCTCGAACTGTGAAGCTGTGGCATTCGTTCACTAATTTATGCTTGAGTGTTTGGATTGTCTTCCATAGCAGCATTATAGGATTTATGTAAGCTTTGAATCTGTCAAGCAGCTTCAAATACCAAGGTTTTTCACATTTTTGTTTTCGTATTGTGACAATCAAATGGTTACCAATCAGTATGTCATGCCATAGAGAGACAATTTAAGATTACTGTTATTTTAGGGTTTGAAAAAAGTTTAGAAAGGAAGAGGGAATTTGTCTTGATTTGGTAGAACTAAAATTGGTTCAGCTATGTCCTTAGCTAATTCAACTTTCCATATTGCCTGTTTGTCTTGACCCTTATGCAGCTTAGACTGACATAATAGAATAAGCACAGAAATTAAAAATCTTTCTTGCAGCCACTTGACCTATCAAAACTGCACCTTAGAATCACATTGCTTCAGGAGGGTAGATATAGTTTGTAATCTTTTTGTAAACTGATACATGTGCTGAAGAAAATTCGTGTGTTCTTGGAACATGCAATCTCTTTCATGTCTTATGAACTGCTTTCCCCACTGTAAGAATTGAGCTACTATGGCTTGGAGAACTTCCCATACTTGAATTTGAAAGCTTATACTGTTCTGTAGGAGCTTTAGTACAACCGATAATTGCTTAAAGAACATTCCATCAGTGTTATTATGCAATTTACACTTCCTTGATGGAAGTGATTACTTTAAAAGTTTGCCACTATTGCTGGCAAATGTTATCATGGCCGCACCTTGCAGTGCTTTTATTAGTATCAAAAGAAAAAAAAAACCTTGTAAAATAGACGGCCATACCTTTAGCATTACGTACAGACAATGGTTAGGTACAATATGCATTGCACCAATAGAACAAGAGAGTCATGATCACAATTAGCAGAGAATAAAGGACAGCTTAAAGAAAGTACTACATAATGGAATGTGAAGCAAAAGTTTCCTATTATAGCCTTCCTTTATGCATGACTAACCAAGATTATGCATGGATTGAGAGGACTGAAAAATGTGCATGATACATGGAACTGCTAAACCTCAAAAATCTAGAAATTACTGAGGGTAATATACTGCAAAAGGCGGATGTCAAGATAGGTATTATAACAGTTGAAGCAATTCTCTGTCTTTAATATCTGCAGGTAAACGTTCTTTCTTGCCGTCTTATATGAACGGTCAAGTTGAATGAGAGTTTTCTCATCTCCTTGTTGCTCAGTCTATCCTCTGTTGTGCTATTTCCTAGTTGCTGATTCATACATTTGTCAAGAATTTAAGAACAAGTATATGTTTGACGAAACTTTTTGTTATTGAGAATGCCCTCATTTCTGAAGCCAGTGTCCATAACTAGTTCAGGCCCATCAGGCAACATAAGCCTTGGGTCACCAAGGTTGCAACTATATTGTCATATGTAAAATTGATGACACTGATCGCTTATTTGCTTCATCCGGCTATGTTTTGCTTTTGCTCAATTTCTCCTTTTACAGGTGGACCATTGTTTTGATATATTCGTGTCAAAGCTTTGTGAGAGTATTTTCACATATTACAAGAGTTGGGCAGCAAGGTAAGCAATGTGGTCTCTATCTTGATTACTCAAATACAAATTCTTTACTATTCTTCACTGAAGTCAAATCTTGTAGCGAGCTACTTGATCCATCATTTCTCTTTGCCTTGGATAATGGAGAAAAATTTTCCGTCCAGCCTATGAGGTTTACAACATTACTAAAGATGACAAGAGTAAAGGTCAGTCTCATTCGAATGTCATTATCATGTGCTCTGCATCTTTTTTCCTTCTTGTTGTGGAAATGACGTGTGCTGCCAGTCATTCAAAAGAGCCAGTTACTAGATTTGTCCTGGATTTATATGAGGTTCTTATGCCCAGTACCGAACTACCAATTCTCGTACTAAATCTATACCTTAACTGGTGCTTCCAGTTCAGTAAACGAGCAAGCTCCATCATTGCATTATCCTGTGCATTTTCTATGTAAAGGTCATTCGAAAATGGGCAGGACACGGCATATTCTTTTCTTGGTCTGGGTTCTACAATATTGGATGAATTAGACATGCTGAGATTGTATGAAATGAAAATAGACGGAAAACGCACCTCTATTATGCTGCAAGTTAGAAAATCTCTACCTCGAGCACTGTTTGACCCCCACGAGAATGGTCTTTTTATCCTTTCATTTGCATCACCCAGGGAACAAAACCTTGGATATTTTTAATGTGATTCACATGATGTGTATGTGGTCTGTCCTACAAGTTCAAAAATTAATATATCCTGTGTGAGGTGAATAATTCCTCTTGCAATTGGATATATTGAAAAATCAAAAAACACCCCATTCATGCACTTAAATATAGGTGTACTTATTTTGTCATGTCCATATGTTTCTTTCCTCTTTTTGTCTCTCAAAATAACAATTATTTACTTTTTGAAATTTCTTCCTGCTTCTCTCTCTCCCTCTCTGCTCCCATGTATAGTTGCTTGGAAGGACCGTTGACTTGAGAAGTCTGATTACGGAAAGGCTGAACAAAGTTTTCAGAGAGAATCTCGAGTTTTTGTTTGATCGTTTTGAGTCCCAAGATTTATGTGCAATAGTGGTAAAGTTCTTTTCTTGCTCTTGTCAATCAAGTTTCCAAATTAGGGAGATCCTCAGAGTTTTCATCATTACCTCCATTATTTTCTCTTATTTCAGGAGTTGGATAAGTTGCTGGACGTCTTGAAGCATGCACATGAATTGATATCAAAGGATATCTCGATAGACTCATTTGATCTAATGATGAACGAGATGCTAGAGAACATATCACTTGTTTCATATTCAAGTCGACTTGCCTCTCAGGTTGAATCTCTTCCTTCATTGTTATATTTTTTTATCGTCGAACAAGTGTGCCCTAGGATGCTATTAACTCTGACGTGCGGTAACTCCTATTATTCTTGCCAATTGAGATTGTTTAATATTCTTTTTCTGCTTTGCCATATCCAACGTAGTATTTGCTAATTAAACTTAAGCATGTTCTGCTGTTGTTGTAAATTAACATTGCAAATCTATTTTCGGTCTATCACATTAAGATGTTTACTTTGAATAATAGTGAGTGTGTTGTAATCCTTATTATGGCCAAAGTTATAATTCCTATTACCCCATGTAATAGCTATGTTGCCTGACGTAATATACTACTATTTTGGTATACAGTTATACTTAATCATAACTGTGGATTTTTAGATGGAGAGAAATTCTTATTCTCATTCTCACATTCTGCTACTTTACAGTGTTATATATATAGGCTAATACACAGAAATCCTAACAAACAAAATAGGAAACAAAGCCTATATAGGAGAACAGTTGCAATCCCACGATATGTGGGATTTTACCATAATCAAAAAACTTCCTAAATAGGAAAACCCTACTCCTAACAATCAGTCAGGTTTCCTACATATTTACAGCCGGATAATCTGGCTATTCACAGCTCAACAATAACTGAATTATTTATTTGTAAATAAGAATAATAGTATTATATATATTGTTAAAGTATTGTCCCAAGTTGCTTGACAACGGTTCCTAAAGAGACGTGGTCTCCCTCCACCTATGAGCTTATGCTTTTGGATTGGAGTTTCTAACATGGCATTGGAGCTAGTGTTATCCTTTTTGCAAATGTGCGTGGTCAAAATTCCACATGATTGTGTATAGTCAAAATTCCACGTGCCACTCATAATCCGGCTTGCACGTGAGAGGGGTATTGAAGTATTGTGTCATATCGCTTGACAACAGGTCCTATTCATGTGATCTCCCTCCACCTATCAACTTAAGTTTTTGGGTTGAACTTTCTAACATATATTAATCAATTAATCATCATATTGATCATAATATTGTAGTTATTGTAGTTGTTAAATGCTTTTTCTACTTTGCCATCTCCAACGTACTATTTGCTAATTAAACTTAAGCATGTTTGGTTGTCATTGTAAATATGACATTGCAAGTCTATTTTCGATCTATCACATTAAGATGTTTGCTTTGAACAACAGTGAGTGTGTTGTAATCCTTATTATGGCCAAAGTTATTGTGAGAGGAAAAATTACTTTCTATTATTCAGTAAAGATCAGTATATACATTAGTAATCAGAAACAAATTAGTAATTAGAAACAAAATAAGCCCCAAGGGTCCTAAAGACCACTTTACCTTTATACTTCTAACACTCCCCCTCAAGCTAGAGCATAGATATTAATCATTCCCAGCTTGTTCCAAATATATTCTATCCTCCCACTAACCAGAGGTTTAGTAAAGATGTCTACAAGTTGTTCATTGGTTCGAATGTGACTATGAAGGATCACTCTACTTTGCAACTTCTCTCGAATAAAATGACGGTCAACCTCAATGTGTTTTATTCTTTCATGAAACATAGGGTTGGAAGCGATATGCACTGCAGCTTTATTATCCCACCATAGAGCCATAGACATTGAAGCTTTCAAGCCTAACTTAGTTAATAACTGCTGATTCCACACTAATTCACATGTCACTTGTGTCATGGCTCTATATTCTGACTCAACACTAGAGCGGGCGACAACACTATGTTTTTTAGTCTTCCATGACACCAGATTTCCTCCAACCAAGGTACAATAGCCAGTGGTTGATCTCCCATCATCTAGAGACCCTGTCCAATCAGCATCAGATTATCCTTCAACTCTGTTTGACCATGGTTTTGGTGAACAATTCCTTTCCCTGGAGCCTTCTTTGAGTACCTCAAAATTCGAATGATCGCATCCCAATGAGATGTACTTCAGAAACTGGCTTACCACACTAACTGGAAAGGCAATGTATGGTCGAGTAATTGTGAGATAATTCAACTTAACTACCAGCCTTGTATATCTCTCAGGATTATCAAGAATATTTCTTCCCTCATCAACCGGTTTAACCCTTTGTTCCATGGATGAATCAAGAGTCTTGATCCCAATATACCTGTCTCGGTGAGCAAATCCAGGACATATTTTCGCTGTGACAAATGACAAAATAATTCCTTTCGGTGACTGTGCCACGTCAATTCCTAGGAAATACTTCAACTTTCCTAAGTCCTTAGTTTGAAAGTGTTGCTGAAGATATATCTTTAGTTCAACTATACCAACCAAGTCATCTCCTGTGATAATAATATCATCAACATGCACAATCAAGAATAGCTTGCCTTCCCCTGACTGTTTATAAAAGAAAGAGTGATCATCTCCACTTCCAAATAGTCCGAAAGAAAGTGCAGCCTTAGAAAATCTTCCAAACCACGCCCGTGGGGATTGCCTCAAACCGCACAAAGACTTTTTCAATTTACAAACAAATCCCCTAGACTCCTCTTGAGCAATAAACTCCGGAGGTTGCTCCATGTAAACTTCCTCATGAAGAATACCATGCAAAAAAGCATTCTTGACATCAAGCTGATACAAGTGCTAGTTATGTGTGGCAGCAAAAGAGATCAAAATATGAACAGAAGTATGTCAATAGGAGAAAGTGTTTGGATAGTCAACCCCATACACCTGAGCATACCCTTTTACAACAAGTCAACCCCATACCCCGTACACCAGATTGTGATTGGGATTGACTTTCACTGCATACACCCATCGACAACCAATAGCAGGTTTGATTAACTTGTAGGGCCTTTAATTCTTCTTCCATTGCTGTCATCCAGCCAGAGCTTTGCAATGCCTCAGCTATAGACTTGGGGACACGATATTGTTCAACAATAGATAAAATAGACCGAAAGGAAGGTAAACACAAAAGAATATGAGATGAAGGTTGCAATCGAATGTTGGGTATAAGCACGTGTACCTTTGCGATGAGCAATAGGGACGTCAAGATCATATACAAGAGGAGGGTAAGCTATCGGTGGATCTAGAGGTGAAGATGACATTGTAGTGACAGGAGGAAGGGGGGAGCAGTAGCTACTCGAGGACGTTGAGTATAAAAATAGAGAGGAGGTGGTTCCCCTGTAGACACTGGTGAAACAGCTGGAGCAGTTGACTGAATGGTGGTCACGTGGAAGTCTTCGTCCAACTTAGACAGTTTTCGGAACATTATGATATGGAGTGGATTCAAAGAATGGAATATCGGCATGTATAAAGTATTTTCTCAGTAATGGAGAATAGCAACGATATCCCCTATGAGTATGGGAATAACCCAGAAACACACGCTTGATGGCCTTGGGATCAAGTTTTGATACTCCAGATCGATGATCACGAATTAAACAGACAACAAAAAATACGGGGTGGTAAGACTAACAGTAACTCTTTGGGAAACAAAGTAGAAAATGGAATACCACCTCGCAAAACAGAAAAAGGCATACGATTAATGAAATAGCATGCAGTTAGGACAGCACCAGACCAAAAGGTTTTGAGGACCTTCATCTCAAACAACATTCACCTAGTAACTTCCAATAAATGTCTATTCTTCCTTTCAACGACACCATTTCATTTTGTTGTGGCGTATCATGATAGGAAGATTCATGGATCATACTATGTTGAGTCATAAAGTTAGAAAAGGGTGCAGAAAAGCACTCCTTAGCGTTATTAGAACACAAACTTTAACACATCGAACTGAGTATGAATTTCAAAAATAAGCACAAAATACAGAAAACAATTATGAACGACTTTTCATTAGATATAACCAAGTGACTCTGGAATAGTCATCAACAAAAGTAACAAGGTATCTAAAACCCAAATTGGAAACCACATGACAAGGACCCCAAATATCTTAATGAACTAACAAAAAAGGGGACGCCACTGATTTAATGACTCTAGGCGGGTAACTAACTCGATGTAACTGTCCAAGTTGACATAAATCACACTTTAAACTAGAATGGGACCAAAAACTAGATTCTAACTTCTGAAGACTGTGTGGAGAAAAATGACCAAGATGACAATGGATCCGGTATGGGGATGCAATACTAGAACATGCAATGGAAGGAGTGTCTTCAAGCACATATAGCCCCCTGCCTCACATCCTCTACCATTCGTCTTCTTCGTAGCTAGATCCTGGAAAATACAAGAATCAGGGTAGATTGTTACTGAATACTGAAAGTTTTTGGTTAATTTACTAATAGACATGAGGTTAAATGGAAATTGTGGAAGATAAATAATGAAGGAGTTGGATGAACTGTGCCAACCCCCTGTACATGTGTAGATGAAACGTTGGTTAGGGTAACTGTGGATGAAGATGGAGTAAGAGGAAAATATACTCGAAAGATCTAACATGTGATCGAAAGCCCCTAAATCAATGATCCAAGGATGAGAAGCAGCTGAAAGGCATGCAGTAGTATTACCTATTTGTACCAAAGTAGCAGTGGAAAAAGTAGGCTGTGAAATCTGAACCTGGTTATACCGAGCAAATTCCTCATCAGACATAACAATTACCTTGCCTTCAAAAGAGTCAGTACTAGATGCAGTATTTGCAAACTATTGTTGCTGCCCTGGTTTTCCATTTAACTTGTAGCAAAATTTCTGAATATGACCAGGTTTGCCACGGTAATGACAAGTCCGTGTGGCCCCTGAGCTATTAGTAGACATGTGGGATTGTCCATAAAGATGTGGTTGGACTTGGCCTCTCCCTGTTCTAGTGCCTCGGCCTTCCCCTTCTCTACCACGTCCATTATATCCTCCACGGTTTCCTCCATCACTTCTACCACTACCAATTTGAGACGGGGACACAAGAGCTGAACTATTTACCAGAGGTATGGTGTCTTGAGAAGACTCACGAGATACCCGAAGAACCCAAGCAAACGTATCTGTGAGTGATGCAATAGTCTTTCCTCCAAGAATATGAGACCTAATGTTTTCATAGTCTGGACTGAGACCTCCTAGGAATCCCATTATAGCCAATTGTTCTCTCTGAAAGTGCATTTTCTGGACATTGGCTGAAATAGGGAGAGCAACATTCAACTCCTCATACATCCTCTTAAAATCTTCAAAGTACTGTGTAATAGAACGCCCCTTCCTTTCGGATCGATAAAGCTCATGTGATAGCTCATATATCTGTGACAGGTTATTTTGCCCAGAATAAAATGCATTCAAATATTTCCACGGTTCTTCAACTGTGTCAATTTAAATTACTAGATCAACTATATTACTCTCCATATAATTTAGCATTTGACCAAGAATACGTGCATCGACAACATCCCAAGTTGCATTGTCTCTGGGTTTAGGCTCAATTAAGTGTGTATGCTAATTCCTGGCTGTCAAAGTTGACTCCACAATTTCCATCCATTGATGAAAATTAGCACTACCCTCAAGCTTCTTATCGGTAATTCGATTGGATGAAGAGGAAATCACCTCAGTCATCACAATATTCTTCTTCTTGGGATCGCCCACAGTGTTACTCTTCGCAGGATCAACCATTCTCCAATAATAATAAGAAAACTCTCGCAAAAAATATCCTTCGAGCAACTCAACCGCAACAGTTCAATAGTCCAACACAATTGAAAAATATATCACCACATAAAAGAGTCTCCATGACCTGAACAGCCATTGACATGACAACCCGTTGCTTGAGATGGTACAGTAGCCCACCTCGTTCACAGTAATCAGCAAATATCAATACCTGAAGGCATCCTCGAAAGGTAGAAGCAAGGCTGTCGCATCACTTCAATCACGGCTAGTTTGGATCAGACTGTGCAAGATCCAGCGACTGCCTATCTAGTGACCGACGACTCTAGCAACCGACGAATTGCGTCGGCGATGGGAGTCGCGTGAGGCAACGAACAAGGAAGCGCTAGAGAGAGACACGCTGGTGGAGGCAAACGTGGTGACTGCTGACTGTTCCGGCGAGTGGTCGACGGCGGTGAGTGGCTGTTCTGTCGACTAGGTTTAAGAACCTTGCTCTGATTCCATGTGAGAGAAAATATTATTTTCTATTGTTCAGTAAAGATCAATATAGATCAATATATACATTAGCAACCAGAAACAAAATAAGCCCAAAGGATTCTAAAGACCACTCTACCCTTTATACTTCTAATAGTTATAATTCCTATTGCAGCCAAATCTCTAATAGTTATTGCTGAGATGCTCCTCTTTTCTCCCTCTGACTCCACCGGTAATATAATCTTTGTGTGATGCAATATTTGCGGTTGATGATTATACTTAATTATTTATTTATAAATAATAAAAATATTATTATATATTCTAATAATTATATTGATCATAATATTGTAGCTATTGTAGTTGTTAGAAACTTAATTGGATTGCATATGTTCATATAAAATAGGGTATAGTCATATATATAATAGAGAACCACCCTGTAATGATGGAAGCTGCGGGTTCGAGCCTTGTCAGTCTTGACGAAATCAAATCCAAGAATATAAATATGAAGAATCCCATTTAGTTTTGATAATTATATTTTAATAGTAAAACTACACAGTAATTTAACACTATTGTTCTGGTAATATAATTAGTTATGTTATACATAATTATATATTATACATAATATAGTATGTAACCACCAGCAGGGGTGGCCTGGTGGTAAACGCGCCCACATGCATCCGAGTTGAGGGAGTCAAGTCTAAGCAATGATAAAAATTCTCCTCGGAGCCAGCTTTAACGGATGCTGGTGGTGTTCTCCCAGCTTGTTGATGTGGCTGTGGTGACAGTCTTGTCCACACGAAGAGTAGCTATTGCTCAATCCTAACATTCTGCAGCAATTATGAGACTCTTATGGTCATGCCCAGAGGAAACGCTAGTTGCTTCTCTCCGCCCTTTTCCTTATCAAAAGAATTTAAACATAAATGTTACGTAGTTGATCTACTAGAGATGAGAGAGCTAGGCATATGGCATATTTTATCCCTATTCACAATGTCAAACCAAACGAAGTTACTATTCTGCTACCTAACCCAAAGAGTGCAATAACCATTAGAGCTATATAACATCATAATCAAAATAATTGTTACATTACAACCTTAACCATCACTGCAACCAAATATGCATTTCCTCCTCTATCTGTTGCGGGTCGACGACTCCTTTTTCCCCTTCTTCAAACTCCGATTTGTACTTTTCATAGAGAACTCTCTGATGCAATAGAAGAAGATCCATTTTGCATCATACCTAAGGGATCCGTTCGTTTGGGCCAAAGAAGCAATGTCACTTGATCTCTAGAAAATACATTCAACTTTGACAAATAATATGTAATTTCTGAAACAGTTATAGTAGATAAGATCTCATCTGTCCATTGGTTCAAGGCATATGAATGCTTTATCTCTAGAAAATACGTTCTACTTTGATAATTAAATTGTAATTTCTGAAACAGTTATAGTACATTAGATCTCATCCGTCCATTGGTTCAAGGCATATCACTGCTTTTCATCATCCTGTGAAAAGATTAAACTCGAATAATTATCTGGTCAAGTTCCATAACACATAAATCTTTGGAAGGGGTATGCTATATTTATAAAGCCCGAAGCCAAGATTGATATATGAGAAAGTTATCAGTTGCTAGTTACAATTCTTTGCCCATAACTTCGTATATTAGAAGATCTTGAATTTTCAGGTACTAGTTAAACGTAATTTGCAGACATTTGTTGAGGATAGGGTAGAATAATGGAATCTCCCAGAGTAAGGTGAGTCATGTCTTAGTTTGTATCTGATAACACATCATTAACGAAGATCTTGGAATAGCCTCTTAAAACACATTAATGAACATCAAAAGATAACCAGGATGGCAGCATTTCTAAAGAAGATTCTGTAGTTTAACATGAGGAACATGTCTATTAGATGAGCTTTTCACTGCTTATTCTTTTATCTGCAAGTTAATGATCTGTCATGATTTCTCTGTCATATTATCTGCTAGTTATGATCAAATAAGGTGCGTAAGTACCTGTGATTTTTTAAAGTTGGTTCGGTATTACAGTTTGACATACACGTAAGTTTGTCTATATGAATGCATACACACACACCTTATAGTTTGCCAACATCCAATCAATAACGCAATGTATGATCCGATGTTGCTGCAAATTTGTCATTGATGTCCTTAGCAAATGTTCACTTCAATTTTTTTCCCATTTCCAGATTTGGTCAGAGATGCAAAACGATTTCTTGCCCAACTTCATTCTTTGTAATACTACTCAACGATTCATCCGTTCTTCAAAGGTGGCATCAGTTCCTGTTCAAAAGCATTCTGTTCCCTATGCAAAGCCCAATTTCTACTGTGGTACTCAAGTAAGTTAGTGGGTTGATTTTACTTTAAACTTAGAAAATTAGAATCTGCTATTTTAAAGTTACTTCTTTTTTTAACTTAACACCAAATTTTTGGCATACTGTTGTATAAATTAAAGTATTACTTTTTGGTGGGAAATTTAATTGTGGCTTACTGGAAGGACTTTAAGCCCATACAAGCAGTTGCTTAACTTTGTTCGTTGCTCTTCGTAATCATTCCTTCTTGTTGTCATCATAGGATTTGAATTCTGCACATCAGAGTTTTGCGCGACTTCACAGTGGGTTCTTTGGTATGCCGCATATGTTTTCGATGGTTAAACTTCTAGGTTCAAGGTCATTGCCTTGGCTCATCAGAGCACTGCTGGACCATATCTCAAATAAGGTACTTTTAGAATCTCATACTTACTTCTCTTTTGTTTTAACATCCCCAACAATCTGTTCTTTCCTAATTGGAGTCCGCATGGTCTACATTGTCAATACATTATATTTCTGCTCTTTATATTAATTTGGAATTTTTCGCATTCTGATTTGTGTATTGTAATACTTCAAACAGAATAGATGTTATCAATTAAATATGGTCAACTAAGGGAGTGTTTACTGGGGGAAGGGGGGGGGGAGATTTGTTGGGGTGGCTGTAGCTTTTTTACTATGGTATTTTGGGTCCACCATCACTTTTAGTTTTGCTTATTTTTTGCTTTTAAGTAAACCATTAAGTTTGACCAAAAAAAAAAGAGTAAACCATTAAGAAATGAAATAAGATCAAATTAATTGAAATCCCAAAAATTGACAAAATTTCTAAAGTACTGTATAAATACTTTGTTATTAAATCCAAATGCTCCTCTGGAAAAGGCTCTATTACCTTCTAGACCTCCGAAGCAAATGAATATTAAATAAGTAAAGGAAGAAAGAAAGTACAAAATAGGGAATGCTGCCTGAAGATTAACCATCCTATGCTTGAGGGAAAATGGCTTGACTTCTAGGAAAATATAGAGATAGATTCTACAAGTATATTCTTGAATTGTGTAAACAAACCTTCCGTTTCAACCAATAGTACCAAATTGATTTAGAATTTGGTAAATCAGATTGTAGGAGAACCATAAACCTTTTATGGTGTTGTAAAGTCTCATCATAATAATTAATGAAATCTTACATGAGAAGAGAGTCAAAATCTCATGTCTTTTGTGGATGCATTATGCTTTATGAAAATCCATATTGAGATAATCAGTGGTAACACATGGCAATATTACCTTTAACTAATTTCTTTGATTTGGAATAAATAGAATTTTAGTGGAACTTTGTGGAATGTTAGAATAATTAAATATTAAACCACGCCTTCATCTAACAGCTTAAGCTTTTAGAACAGTTGGCAGTGGTTCCATCAAAATCTCACATTGTATCAGAGCTGAAGGTCCTGAGTTCAAATCTTTCGAGGCCTCATTTGCCTCTCTAATTAAATATGTTCACGCTTAGTACTAGGCAAACAGACCAAATTAAGCGTGGGGGGGAGTGTTAAAATAATTAAATATTAAACCACGCCTTCATCTAACAGCTTAAGCTTTTAGAACCGTTGGCAATAGTCCCACCAAAATCTCACACTATACATTTGTTTTCCTTTGGCAAAGACCACATAGTTCTGCTATCTGCTATATGCCTGAAATTTTTGAGCTCAAAATTTGACAAATCTTTGGGAATCTGAGAGTCAAGAAACTAATTAGCTTATTAAAAAGAATAAGTACAGATGTTCAGATCTTTGGCATCAGAAAAACTACATTTCAATTTGTTCTCCTTATAGGTTTTGTTAGGTAGACCATCTTAGATGGTTATGTGGAGTGGTATTTTCTTAGTACCTCAAGTATAAATTTTTTTCTTCTTTTTGAAGGAGAAAAGGTGAAACACGTGCAAGATCCACAAGACTCCAAGAAGTAACTTGTTTTAACATTTCTTGAATGACTTCACCCAGCATTTATGAAATAATTCTGAGCAAAATAATTTCTTCTTAGCTATCAAGAAGTCCTAAGTATTTTCTTCACAGAGAATATTCCTTGATAACCAGATGATGTTCCGTCTTGACTGGCCTTGACTCGGGATTGAGGAAATAATTCTGAGCAAAGTCATTTCTCCTTAGCTATGAAGAAGTCCAAATTTTTTACTTTGCATCGATGCCTTTTTTTTGTGCTAAATTTGGAAATCTTTTGAATAATCTCCGAGAATGTAAAATCTTTATCCTGGGTTTGTCTAATCTCCAATTTCTTTCATGTTCAGATTACTACCATAGAACCTATGATAGCGGGATTACAAGAAGCATTGCCCAAATCAATTGGATTGCTTCCTTTTGATGGTGGCGTGACAGGTAACTGATAACATTAGCAACGTTTTTCAAGTGATTTTTGTCACAAATTTTCTTACTCAATATATAAACAGATTGTTTCTCTGGTAACGTTATTCTAAATCCACCTTTTTCTCGTTGACTTCTTATATAGGCTGTATGAGGCTTATCAAAGAGCAACTTAACTGGGGGAAGAAATCAGAGCTTAAAGCAGAGGTGCTTCGTGGGATCAAAGAGATAGGAAGCGCTTTATATTGGATTGGGCTTCTTGATATAGCATTGGTCAGTGCTCTAACCTTTTCTTGTCTGAAATTTGAATGTCGTCCCGCTGAAAGTTTTATGTACTTATGCATGCATATGCTAAATGCTTGTAAGACTTGCTCGGTTGTTCCTCTAGTTTTCTGAATCTTATAATGTTCTATGACAACAGTTCTATGGGAATTGCCTCATTCATTTTATATCCTTATTCTTACTACATCACATCTATAACAGAGGGAATTAGACACCACACACTTCATGCAGACTGCACCTTGGCTGGGTATGATTCCAGGTGCAGATGGGCAGATAATGCAAGCTCAAGATGGTGGAGTCAGCCCTATAGTTAACCTTTTCAAATCAGCAACCACTGCCATTGTTTCTAACCCAGTTTGCGCAAGTCCAATGTCCTTTCACACCATGGCAAAACAGGCTGAAGCTGCTGGTAATTAATTGTCTATCAGCCATTTCTATTATTGAGCCATATTCTCTCTGCTTAGTCCTACCGTTGCAGTCCCACTTGTGTTTTTGACAAGTTTTGTGTAAGTTGTTGGATGTAGAGAGCTTGTATAAAGAAAAGAAGCATTTTGCACATAGCAGAGTTGCCTTCCTGCTTCAAATGTTGACTCACACGTTTCTGGCTTACCCCCAGATGCAGAATAGATTCAAGAAATTTCATAAACTGGATTGGAAGATGGTAAATTGGGAACAAGAGAGCTGGGTGATGCAATAGGAGATTGGCAGTTGCACATATGAAAATATAGCCTGCCCCTTAGTTTAGTATGACAGTGCATACACTCCCTTAGCTTGATTTAGAGATAATTTCCAAGAAAATTTAACAAATGTCTCAATGTTTTGCCAGTTTTTATATTAAAAACTTTACTGCATGATCGATTTGAAGACCTATTGATTCTGGCTATCGATTCTACCTACCCACCCGTGTCGGTTCCGGGTACAAGTACCCTTCTCTAAATCAAACTTCTCCTTGCTATAATGGTTCAGTTGCTCAAATCTTTGAGGGAGCACCCTTGTAATTTTTATTTCCTCTTACAAATACGAAATTCCTCTGTTAAGGTACTAATTTAACGTCAAAAATCTCATTGCACAGGTCACTTGGAGTTAGTTTACATAAAAAAGACTTTTCTTCCTTTGCTATACTTCATTATACTTTTACCTCTTAATGCAATCGACTAAAATTTTGCATCAACAGTCAATATGGAGGAAAACAGGACAATAACTTCCCTTGATGATGTCTGTAGTTTCTGTTTAATTGGCATTGCAGATGCATGACTGACTTCTCGTTTTAATTGCAGATTTACTGTACAAGGCTAACATAAATATGGGAAGTATCTTGGAGTATGCCCTTGCTTTTACAAGTGCTGCGCTAGATAAATATTGCAGTAAATGGAGTGCTGCACCCAAAACAGGTTTTATTGACATTACAACCTCAAAGGACTTCTACCGCATCTACAGTGGCCTCCAAATTGTAAGTTGATGTCAACATATTCTTTTCCTGTTTGTTCTGTAACAACTAAAAGTCAAAAATATCTTGATCTTAATGGGTTGTAGAAGCCTATCCAATTTCATACATCAGGGTTCTGTGGGAGATTTGTTTGGCTATAGATACATCGTCAATCCAATGTTTCCTTCTTTTGGGATGGATTCTACTTTTTGGTTATTTTGATAGTGAAGCATTCAGTAATTTTTCCTTGTGGATGTTGGCCACCTTGAATGGATGGGTCAATATTGGAAAAGGTTTACCTCTTTTGATTTGCTGTAATATGTTCCTACATCAAGGCAAATGCTGTTCCTGCTATGTTGGTGGCCAGGTCTCTATGGAATTAGTACTCTGAAAGTATAGTCAAAACACTCGCTCATGTGGAGACCTATCGATATATTAAATAACCACCTTCATGCTGAATGTTCTCTTAATTCTTCAAATATAGGGGTATGTGGAGGAGTCTGTTCAAATGCAATCACCAAGCCATGAAGTATTGGGGGATTCAGTTGCCTGGGGTGGTTGTACCATCATGTACTTGCTTGGGCAGCAGCTGCACTTCGAGCTATTTGATTTTTCATATCAGGTCCTCAATGTTGCCGAGGTAGAGGGAGTGTCCCCTACGCATGCGCACAAGAATCCTCCTTCCCTGCAGGTAAAACATGGGCCAAATTTCGTCATAAAATCTTCCCCGACCAGAATACAGTTCAAGAGACTCTTCCGACCTGAAAATTCAAGGGTTTCATGTAGTATGTGGCAAATAAGGCCATATAACGACTCATGTAAAGCAAGCAGTCTATATTTTGAATTTCTTCTCACATTAGGCGATAGCAATTGGTTGTCTTCCTTTTTCTTTCATAAAGCAGCTCAACAGGGTTTGGACCAGATGCTAGCGCTGCGTTGGAATGCACTTGATGTGCTGTATTGATCAATCTAATAAACTTGGCTTGCATTTTTCTGTTTCATATTTTAATGTGCTTGTATTCATCTTTAAACAGGGTTGGGAGGCGCTCTTGGAAGCTCTGAAGAAAGCTAGGAGGTTAAACAATCATGTGTTCTCCATGTTGAAAGCGCGGTGTCCACTCGAAGACAAAACAGCTTGTGCCATTAAGCAAAGCGGTGCACCCCTTCATCGAATCAAGTTCGAGAACACCGTGTCCGCATTCGAAACACTGCCACAGAAAGGTGCCTGAACAACGCTATTTCTTTAACTTTTCTTCTTGCAAGATCACCCTATCATGAGCGTGCCTAATGGAGAGGTATTCAGCATCGATGTTTCTGACTGTATGTAGTTATTCTCTTGTAGAGAGAGAGAGAGAGAGAGAGAGAGAGAGAGAGTTTTAAGACTCCCATTTCGGTTGGTAATGGGAATGAATTGCTTTACTCCCAAGTAAAAAGCTTATAATCCTAAAAGATAATCTCAAGAGTTGTCCTAGAGGAAATATACCCGTCACAACTTGGCTATATCATATCTTTCAGTACCTCAAAACACATGCATCATCGTGTCTTATGATAACATTTGTCCTCTTGCGGAGATTACATCTCTCTCTCTCTCTCTCTCTCTCTCTCTCTCTCTCTCTCTCTCTCTTCCAAGCTCAACGATATCCCGGACATGTTCTTGATTCATTTGACTTTATTGAGATTCTACGGTTGCTTCCGACTCATTTTCGAATACATTAAACTAGAAAAGACCGTGGTCATGTTATATGGTTAGATGGCGTCCTTATCCTCTCTTCCCATTTTGAGAACAATCAGTTCGGCCGACAAGTAAACCACATAAACAAATTACGATGAACTGGCGGATTAGACAGTGAGTTTACCCCCTTGACTGACTGTATCTGAATTGAAGACAACATTAGCTTTCTCTACTTGACATCTCAAACTATATATTATATTTTCTGTGGATATTTGATGGAGTGACAAGAACTAAACCACTTCGAAATCATGTAGTCTGATTAACGACTTTGAAAACTCAAATGATCTTTTTCTAATCGAACATAGCAAGGCTTTGCAATAGAATTTCTTGAAGTAACCTTAGGAGTCAAAAAAACATTGCTTATTAGTGGCCTATCTTGATTCTGTGAGGTAGGCTTTATGGATGTGTTTTTTATTTTAATGTGCCAGTGCCTGCACGTCTCACTCTCTCAATTCCCCTTGTAATCTTCTTCGGGGAGAGGGAATATCCTTTGGAAATTTTATATCCCGGTGATTCCAAGGTTCGGACGAAGATCGAGATAAAATCTTTTAAGGACTCAGAATTATAATGTGACGGGACAATTTCTAGATGAATATTCATCTAAATGAGACATTATTTAAAGTACCTATCAAGAACCTACTCATTTTTCACCATTGTTCAATTCGCAACACATGGAGGCATAGGCGCACCATAAATTGTCTTGGAATTGGACACCCTCAGCCTCTTAAGACATGAAAACATGTGGTTGGCTTGTAGCCTTTGTGGATCACATGTGATTGCATAACCAGGAATCATGAACTTCATTCCACAAAGTCAAATCCACACAATCAAGTTGTCGCACAGCAAAATTTCGACCCGAGAAAAACAAACTGAGATTATAAATAAAAAAAAATAGGACCATGAAGGAAAAGAAAAGCAAATGATTCCTACCAACAATACCAATAATTTAACACAAGGAGCTGAATCCACCTTGGGGAGTTGTATCCCATGACATGCGTGGGTCCATGGAAGCAATGTGGATGGCTCTTCCGACTCGTGGGTCTCCACTCATCCAACTCTTATTTTCAAGGCATGAATCATTCCTAGATCCTTTGGGTCGGTTTGAGTGCAATTCAAAGTCATCTTTTGACTTGTTCTCTCACTTCCGTGGCCAGACTTTCTAGTACATTCTGTTTCCTTTTTCTTTGGTCCAAATGATTCAGGAGAACGACCTTATGATCAAAACGAAGATGGATACAACGTTTTCAATTTGAAACAAGACTTTTACACGAACACCTCAAATCTGATAAATAAATAAAAAAACTATACGCGGGCATTTAAAGTTACCCCGAATTCACTCGTTAGAGTAGTTTACGAATTAAAATTTTGTTCATTTTGTGTGCATATATATAGGTACATGCGGTTTCTTCCATCTGACGAAGGATGATAGTAGTCTGAGTTGCCATGATTAAACATTTCTCATGAAGAACCCAAAAGAGAAGTGTAGAGCAATTTGAGACTCAAATGCCACCAAGGATCCCAAACTGAGGAATGTGTGATTATTTTTCCTAACGTTGGAGAGTTCCTTAAGAGAATAAACTACATCGAGGCCCCTTTTGTAGTGACAGTCGCTGTCCTAATACACTAAAGGGCAGCTCCGGAGTTATCTGGTTTTTCTTTTTTCTAATCTATATTGCTTCTAATTTGATCTACATGCACATAGATTATCATGACAATACAGATGGATGTAAAAGACAAGCAACATGTGATATCGCGCCGGTAAATAATAAAGTAAGAGGAGGAATTTTATGGGAAATGGACTTCCTTGATATGTAAAAGAGGTCGTCATCCGTGACGAAAGCTAAGGGGAATTTGGTAATCAACTAGTCTCTTAGCTACTTTCCTGAGTGGGTGATATTGTGACGCGGACACCCGGTTGCAGATGGCTTTGTGGAGCATTTGGATAAACACATATCTAGCAGACATTTCCTGAACAACAATTCCGTGTAGTGCGCTAGAAAACAGTTATAACTTTTGATCCATGACGAGTTATGGAACCATTGATACCAAACTAGAAAGCTCGCTTCGAGCACTACACTTCGGCCAAACCGGATACCTCATTTGCAAAGGGCTTTGGGACCTCAAAATTCATCGTTTGAGGCGTGTTTCTGGACACTTTTCTATTTTTATGTCATTTTTTCACATTATCTTATACTTTTGTTTATTTTTTTTTTGAACTCTTTACCGCTCAGGGTTATTTTCAAGTTCCAATGTCACCTAAGGTTAGCAATTTTTTTTTATTTATCTTTTCAATGCATCGGACATCTTTTTGTATATTTTATAGAATACAAAAAAGGAGATTTCTTTCTATGGTTGTTCCTGTGACCGTGTGCACCTGAATGCTTGTTTGTGAATCTTTACTGTGGCAACGAACAGGTTACCTGCTCTTAACGGTCAAAGCAAACCGTTTCATTCTAAATTATTGTCGAATCCATGTTTATCTATCCCTTAGTTGCATTATATTGCCACAAAAATAATTATCTTCCACACTAGATGCGTACGATTCTTCCTCTCACTTATTTCTTTTGGCGGGAATTTTTTTATTGGCCAAATACCCTAGAAAAACCTTGAACTTTTCGCTTTCTACAGAAACTTTTGAGATTTGTATAAAAACTCTAGATTTACCACTCCTAATTTTTGTTTGTTTTTCCAAGCTTTTTTATTTCTACAACTTTCTTCAACCGCTCTACCAGGAAACCTAAGGCAAGATTGTAGATATACTTAGACTTAAAAAGGAATTTAAGTAAACATAGAGTTTATTCATGGGACAGGACGGACTTGAGGAAGATTATGACCGAGCTTGAATAATTTCCAAAGGCTGGTTCTACAACTAGAAGGGTTTAAAAGCAGAAAATCAGTAGGCATAATTTGTTTAGATCAGGCAAGTTGTGCAATCCAACCGCAAGCAATAGCCAATATATTGTTAAAATCTTATTTCGTGTATAAATAAACAGTGGTAATAATTTCCACAAACAGGACTAGGACAAAAATATATATTCTCGTTTTTGTCGACTTCCAGTCATTTCATAAATGAATGTAGGTTTCTACTTATGCATAAAACCGTAATGTGATTGTCATTATGTTGTGGTGTAATAAAACTGTAATATCTATTGCATTGTTTGGTTTAACCGTTTAAGTAATGTAATACCTATTATAATATGTAATATGTGCTAACAGAATTTAAAAAATATCCTAAAATCAGAGTTAGAGAATATTATAATTATCACTTTAATAGTCAATCAAAATGTAAATATATTTATTTATTTATTGATTGTTACAATTGAAAATTAATTAAGTACATCTGATTATGTTTACAATAAGTATTACATTTTAGTAATTATGAATTTAATAGCGAATCATGAGTGTAATAACTCATATATTAATTATCAAGATATCACAACTTAATATATAAATTTCTATCGATCATCTAATAATTGGTTTATGATTAGATTTAACCATATAATATGTGATCATATAAAAGTAAACCTTCTTTATTCCATAATTAACAGTATGATCGAAATAATAATTATATTACAATTTGAGCATTAAATCTATATTCTTAAGTTATGAAAATTTACATAACCAGACCTAATGGGGAGCAACTAATATCATGCTATATTATGTTATGAATGGCTTTGATCATAATAAATAATTATGTATAACCAAGATAACCTAAATACTATTAAATTATTTATTTATTTATTATGTGACATTCTATTTTTTAATCATAGAATATATTATTAGAGTCAAGATAAGTACAGTTGATGTTATCGTTATAAATACTACAAATGAATTTAGGTGTAATTAATATACTTTAATTATTATAAATGATCCAACATTGATATAGTGAGTGAGAAAAAAAAAAGACAGATATTTTGGGAATAGTCTAACTGTAAAGGCTAATGACACAGGAGTCGATGTAATAGTTATTACCGCTTTGCCATAATGGTTACGACAATGGCTGTAATGGAAATTACACTGAAATAACTATCACAGCAAGCAAAAACTACAATAATTGGGCCAGTAATGTAATAGCCATTACTGCAACTAAACATGTTGTAAGTGTAAGTTAAATATTTATTAGTACATTCGTTTTCATAAAAGTTACAATAAGCTGTCAAACCTAAAAGAGTATGGCAAGTATAGAGAGCTTACCACACCTCTTACGAAAGTTGCGACACCTCTTTATAATATTAAAAAAAAAAAGCACCGTGAAAATCTATACTTAACAAGCTCTTGATCATGCCAATGTCGGCCCAATTCAAAAAAAAACCCTCAACTTTACACTTTGTCCCAAATATACCCTGAACTTTTTTTTGTCTCAAGAAAAACCACAAACTTTTATCTAAGTCCCAAATCTGCCTCCCGTTAAAAATCCATCCAATTAACGTCGGAAAAAAAAAAAAAACAGAGGCAGGCGGTGTGGCGGTGGCCAAGCCTTCGCGGTGGCCGCCGCCACAGCCCGCCGGGAAGGAGCGGCGGCCTCGCCACAGGCCTTCCCGAAGCCGGCGACCCTCGCCGGCCAGGGCGAGCCGCCGCGAGCGCGCGCCCCCGATCTGGGGAGGCGCGACCCTCGCGCCGAGATCGGGGCCGCGCGCCCTCGCCGGCGGCTAGCCGAGGGTCCGGCGAGGGTCGTCGGCCCTCGTTTGGGCCTTCTCGAAGGCCGGCGACCCTCGCCGGCCCCGGGCGAGCCAGCCGGCGGCGCGCGGCCCCCGATCTGGGGGAGGCGCGACCCTCGCCCAGATCGGGGCCGCGGGCCCTCGCCCGACGGCTCGCTGGGGCCGGCGGGGTCGCCGG